ATGTCAGCAGAAACGGGTCCATCGGCAATGTGAGGTGTCGGCTAAAAGGAATTGTGGAAGGTCGGCGGATGGGTTGAAGGAGGCTGTTTTGACGATAGCTTAACAGCGGCCCCAACCCCCGGAGGCCGCTGATCCAAGTTTCCCCGGTGTGGACTTGGGGACCTAGCGGATCGTCCCGCAACAACATCGGCGAAATTAGAGTATTAATTGATTCGAGAACGTAGAGCGTCGACGAGATGGCGAGCGTGATTGGCGTCGCTGAAGATTCTGAGACGGTAGACTTGCCATGTATTCTGTGATAGCGCGGCGTCGTTCCCCATCCCTGGGATGACGAGCGTCTCCATGGCTGAAATCCAGGTAGGCCCATCTGTCTTTACGAGCTCTCCTGGTACGAGTGACCTGGCTCACCACAGTGGTAGCAAAGTGGCCGATTGTCGGAAGCGCACCACACGTTATATTTCCGCACATTAGGTCGTAGATTCTCATAGTGTGGTGGGCCCGAGAATTACTGCGGCATCTGCAGGCAAGTCGGTTGTGGGTTTTCATAGTGCGGCAGGCCCGAGAGGTGTTGCGGCGTCTGCAGGCTGGTCGGTCGGGAAAATTGGCTGGATGCCGGCGCAGAAGTACGTACAGCTTCCGCATACATTAGCAGAGGAGCTTCGGTTGGAGGTGCCACTAACAGTAGTACTATCTTTCGCACCTCTACACCGACGACGTCTGTCAGAGCAGCCCCTTGAGGCTGTGAAGACACTGCGCGAAGCTTTTGCAGTTCGTCGCGTACAATGCTAACGGACTAGCTCAGCAAGGTCTCTCACGCTCGTGACGTCGGGTGTTGCCAAATGTGCCCTGCCACGGTGGTCTAGTGGCTAAGGTACTCGGCTGCTGACCCGCAGGTCACGGGTTCGGATGCCGGATGCGGCGGATGCATTTCCGATGAAGGCGGAAATGTGTAGGCCCATTTGCTCAGATTTGGGTGCACGTTCAAGAACCCCAGGTGGTCTAAAGTTCCGGAGCCCTCTACTACGGCGTCTCTCATGATAATATGGTGGTTTTGGGACGTTAAATCCCACATATCATGTTGCCAAAGATGCAAGGTTGCTGAACCGCTCATACTGCGAAGGCCGCTGTCTTAGCATTCGCTCCATTGTTGTCGCTTCACGGAGGAGTTCCGCCACGGTAGCTGGTGGGTTTCGTACAAGTCCTGCGAACAGCTGCTCCTTGACACCCCACATCAGAAAGCGTATCTTTTTGTCTTCCGTCATCGCAGAATCTGCTCGACGGAACAAACGAGACATCTCCTCAACGAACATGGACACGCTATCATTTGGTCTTTGATTGCGAGAATTGTGGAGACGTTCTGCTTGTTCTTTCCGGTCGGCGCTACCATACGTGTTCCGCAGCTGAGTGCAAAACACCGGCCAGGTTGTCAGGGCAGCTGCGCGATTCTCAAACCAAACGCGCGCTGAATCCTCCATGTAGAATCAGACATACCGCAGTTTCTGGTGCTCATCCCACTCTTTAGCGACGGTGATTCGATCGCATTAGTCAGGCCAGTCTTCAACGTCTCCATAGGGCTCCCCATAGAAGGGCTTTGGGTTTCGAGGAGGTGGTGGCCATGGACCTGGCGGAGTCGTGGTCTGTTTTGTCTGGTTTGAAGTTGTCGCATTCGACATGGTTCTGGAGCGTTCCGTATGAGGGCCGTATCGGGGTGGTGGGCCTAGTGGCCGCCGACTGCGTCGAAGGTCGTCTGTTTATAACAAGGCGTCAATGTTGGGGCCTTGATCTCTCCCTGATAACAGTGCATAGACTATTACCCAGCACCTCAACCAGTGTCACCTTACAACGTAACTAATACCTGTAGATAATAGCACACAAAGACGTCACACTGATTCGATCAACGGCAATACAACTTTATCGTTTTCTCTGCAAGTGCATCTTCGTCCTCTTTTGAACAGTGGCACGTACAAGCCTGCCAGCATGTATGAAAATATTACTTGCGGAACTTGTACCAGTGGCAATATTATTAGATCACCAGCAAACAATCTGATGGAAGAAGCGATGGTGCTGGCAAGATCATTTATGAATAATAAAAACAGCAAGGGTCCCAAGACTGAGTCCTGAGAGACAGTAAATGTTACGCTAGCTATACCCGATTCTGCGAAGTTAATTACTACGTACTGAGAACGAAGGGACAAGTATTGCCGAATCCATCTCCTGTTCATTGATATTAAACCAATGTAGCGTACCTACAAGAACCCTGGGATCTACGAGGTCGAACGCTTTCCTGAAGTCTACAAATGTCCAATCAACACAGGAGCATTCATTCAGTGCACTACAACCTTCGTGAACAAATTTTGGTAATTGAGTTATGCACGAAAGCCCTCGTCTAAAACAATGCTCTCTTGCATTTAGAAGATGTTGATCGGTTATGTGTGTCATCACATTGATGAACAGGACGTTCTCTAATGTTTTGCAGGCTATACTTGTCAGAGATAATGGTCTGTAGTTGTTGACCAGTTCACGAGGACCCGATTTATACACAGTCACAACGCACGCCACTATGCAGTCATGTGGCAGGCTTCCAGTTCTCAATGATTTCACAACGCATGCCACTATGCAGTCATGTGGCAGGCTTCCAGTTCTCAATGATTTCGAGTATAGAGTCTTAAGGAAGGGTCTGATGAACCTTGTACACTTTTTGAGAAACCGCCCCTCAATTCATCTGGTCCTCCTGCTTTGCTAGGATCTAAGTGTTCGAGAAGACAGTGAATGCTGTTTACGTCAACAGCTACGTCATCCATATCTGTCATACATCTGTTAGTAGGCGAAGGCAAAATGGTGTTTGACGTGCAGGACGAAAATACGGAAACGAAAAATGTGTTATAACAGCTGGCCTTATCTGAGCTATTTTCTATTTCTTTGCCGTCATGCAGAAGCGAGGGTATACAAACTCCGGTTTTTGGTACATTTGACAAGATTCCAGAACAACCTTTTTGTTGTTCTCTAACATGAAGGCAGAGCATTGAAAAATTCTTTTTTCACATGACAGATTTTTGTTTGTAGAAGCTTGATTGATTGATTTATTTGATTTGTGGGGGTTAACGTCCCAAAACCACCATATCATTATGAGAGACGCTGTAGTGGAGGGCTCCGAAAATTTTGACCACCTGGTGTTCTTTTACGTGCACCCAAATCTCAGTACATGGGCCTACAACATTTCCGCCTCCATCGGAAATGCAGCCGCCGCAGCCAGGATTGGAACCCGCGACCTGCGGGTTGTTTGTAAAAGCTTTGTGATGACTTCAAGTTGTTGGTAAGTCTCAGAAGTTGAGCTTTTCTTAAATATTGTATAGACCCTGTTCCGTTTGCCGGTAAAGCACCGTTGCTTACCATTACACCATGGCTTTGATTTAGAACTACATGAAGTCCTTACCCACAAAAGCACGCACTTTTTTAGGTCAAGAATAATTTTTTTTAAATGGGGCCACAATTCTCAAACGCTGCAAGCACCGGAAAGGTGTTTGAATTCTCGAAATAAAGCTTCCAATGCAAGGCCTATCTGGTTTTCGTTTCTTTGGCTATAAATATGTATCTTTTTTTATGCTAATGTTTGAGTCTTTTCGTATGCTAGCTTCATTTCACAAAAACAACTTTATGGTCACTAATGCCAGGTACTACCAAAACCATGGTTACCCAGTTTGGCTAATTAGCTAAAAGTAAGTCTAAGATAATATTTTTGTTGCTTTAGTTTACCATCTAAGTTAAGAAAACGTTGTTAAGCATGTTGAACATTTCCTTTCCTGCTACAGCTGTAGCCCCTGCACTGTACGACTGATGATTTCACAAAAACTGTGGAATATTATGGTCCAAATTTATAACCAGATTATCAGTATTGGTAGTCTCCAGTGTCTTAGAAAAATTGGTGATGACAGTTTCAGAACTTGCAGAAGGTCTATAATATAAGCACACTTATAATGCTTTACCATTTGGCAATCTGATTTTGCACCATACATCCTCACAAGTGCTGCCACCGAGATCAAGTGCCGAACAAGAAAGCGAACTCTTAACTAGTATAAAAACCCCACCGCCACAACGATTTCTATTGTTCCCAAAGCAGGTGTAACAGCTTGGAAAAACCTCGTTGTCTCCTACGTCAGCATCTAGCCAAGATTCGGTTCCGATCAAAATGCTTGGTTTTACCAAGCATAACAGGTTATTGTGCATCTTCCACTTTGTGACCCGCAGGTTGCGGGATCAAACCCTGGCTGTCGCGGCTTCATTTCCGATGGTGACGGAAAAGTTGTAGGCCCGTGTACTCAAATTTGAATGCACGTCTAAGAACGCGAGGTGGTCTAAATGTCCTGAGCTGTCCACTACGGCGTCTCTCATAATCATATGGTGGTTTTGGGACTTAAAACCCCACACATCAATCATCAATCATCTTCCAATTTGCTTTTGATGCTATCGCAATTGACTACCAGAAAAGCTACGTCTGCTATAGAGCTACGCATGCGTCATGTCGTTTGGATAACCTGGCCACGACTTTCATTGTACACGAATATCTGCCCATTTAAAAAGGCTTTATCATACTTAAGATTTACGCGAGCCCCATCAAAAGCATTCCTTTTGCCGAATTTCCAGAGAAACTTTCTTTTTCTGCACACTGCCTGTGACAAATATTCTGATATACTGGAGGCTCTTAGCTTCTTAGCGTTGGCTAAGGTTGTCTGTTTATCTTTATACATTGAAAACATTGTAGTAAAAGCATTCGAGATTTTTTAATTCACAGATGGTAGTTTTAAACGGGATACAAATTCTTGTACTTTTTCTACAGAAGCACTCAGTGGAAGTATGCGGAAAAGGCATGTTACAATTGCACTTGCGTATAAGCTAACATGGCCTCACTAGTCTTGCTTTTCGTTCTTTTGTTCAGATGTTTTTGCAGCCACTATAAGCCAGTATAGTAAGAAACCTGAACACCTCACAATTTCGTTTTGCAGGTAGAATCCAAAATCGCTTTTCAAAAGATTTGGGCACCATTGACGACCTCCTTCCACCCACTGGCTTGGATATAACCTTTGTGAGTATAAATTACGCTTTAAATCGTAGTCACTTGAGCCTGAACATAGTTACTTAAGAGACGATGTGCATGAGCCACTGTTTCTTTTGCAGATATTCCTGAATCTGGTTGGCGTTCTGGTTGTGGTGGCAGTTATCAGTCCGTGGATAATCATCCCCACTCTCCTACTCTTCGTACTGTTTTTCTATCTGCGCCGATTTTATATGAGGACTGCCAGAGACGTGAAGCGCCTGGAGGGAGTGAGTGAGTGAGAAATTGCACAAGTTTCATCACCCGAGCTATATCGTGAAATATGCTTTGTTAGCATGACCACTGGAAAAAGTTTTATAGGCCTTTACGCATAAAATTTTAATTCATTTTCTTTGTAATATTCTTATTTAAAACCAATGTTCATTGCATATTCGACATATTTGCAGCTGTTAAAGATTGTAGAGTCAACCACCCTACTGAAACGTTCCGTATGAAATCTTACGGAAAATATATGGACTCCGTAACATTTTCTTATGCTACATACGGAAAAAGTATGGAGTGTTATGGAAATATACGGAAGTTGTATGGCATTTACGGAACGCTTCTTATGGAGTATAAGGAAGGATAAGGAAATTGTATGGCGTATACGGAAAGCTTTTTATGGAGTATACGGAAACGTAAGGAAAATGTATGGCATATATGGAAAGCTTTTTATGGAGTATATGGAAGGATAAGGAAAGATAAGGATACTTATGGAGCATGCGGAGAGTTCATGATGAAAGATATGGAAGGATAAGGAAAGTGTTTGGAGTGTACAGAAGCTTTCATAAGGAAAATGCAGAATGTAAGGTCTTACGGAAATATACAGATTTTGTAAGGTGCTTACGAAAATGTGCAATAGTGTATGAAAGGCATTTGTATTGTTGCAAAAATGTGGAAACTCTACAGTTGTCACATTTTCAGCAGGAAATTCGAGCTCTATAAAGTTATAAATGAATGCACAGTGACATATATAGTACAAAAGAATAACGCAGGCTAGTCTGTGTTGTCAGTCACCGCTGTTCGCCCTTTTCCAGAATGAATACAACTTCTGCAGATGACCAGGTGCTAAAGTCTGTCACACGGAAAATGTGTCATTCACAAGAAATGACAATAACTGTCATTTTACTTGCATGCTGTCACACGAAAACAAATCAAGCAAAAAAGCATAACTTCAAGGGCTCGTTTTTGGTAGAAACAATAATAATGAGAACTAAATTTAACGTGAGTGAACTTGTCAATAATAATGAAATTGTTCTCGTTAACATTGGCAAAGAGAAATGTCATTTTAAAGTATCGACCATGAGCTTAGCTCTCCTGAGCACCGACAAAAGAAATGAAAATCTATGAAAACTAATTGCATGTAGCCTAAAAATAATTTTTTATTGATAGTATGTGCTCCTGCAATATAAATACAGCTATACACAACTTGCCACAGCTTCACGACAGAAACGAGGTAGGGGCAGAGGGAGTGGTCAGAAAAATAATTAAGTATGAGAGCACAACTGATATGTACAAACACATAATGGTGCTTATCATTGATGCACAGATGGTCGTCTATAGAGCTGGGTCGTTTTGAGATTTTGAAAAGCATTGTTTCAGACCACCATGCAGATCACGCTTCAATTGTAGTGCTACATAAGACACAACTTATGGGCCAGCTTTAATGAATAGGAAGATTATAGGTTAAACAAATGCTTTAAAATATATCATATCATGGCTGCATGGACGCATACAAGCTATGTAAAGCGCAATAAAGTGAGGACGCATGAGCTTCTCTTGATGCTTCAGTTCTACATAGATGCTTCAACTGTGCTGCAAGAAATTTAACCAATGTCTGTGTGTACAACATTGTCCATTTTAAACTATCTGTATGTATATATAAAATTCCTACTGCGAGTTAAGCTACGTAGCACTCCATAACTCTTCCTTTTATTAAGGGCAATTTTTCAAACAATCAACATTATTCATTTTTTGTCTCATGACTTCGTGCCCGCAATTCTTGGTTTGGCTCGATCACAATTGTGCAGCCCTTATTTTGGAGGAATCAAAAAACATCAACCAAAATATATTTTGGAACTGCTTCTCGGTGATATTGCCTTCCCTCAACTGCCACAGCTTGAGATGAGTCATATAGCAAGTCTCGCACATACCTAGGGCCTACCCTTGAAGAAACTTGTCCGGCTGTGAAATGCTCAGTTTTTTCTCAAATAATTTTTTGGTTTGAGTTTTCTCACTTCTCGAGTCCCTTCACAATCAAGCAGACCCAATGCTCCCCTTAGTCCTTAATTTTGTTATATTATGAAATAAATAAAAAAAATAATAATGAAAATAAAAATACCAATAACTGTTGCGTAAAAAACACAGACCCACATACGTACTTGAACGCATCATTGCTTTTATTTTGTTTTAATACCTAGGGCATTAGAAAAGATAGCAGTACAATAAAAACGTTGAAAAAAAAACAAAAAAAAACTTGGCGGGACTCGAACTTGCGCAGTTTAGTTGTGCTCGCGTACGTGACTTGAGTGCGTTAGCTTGCTGAGCTATTCGCGCTGAAGGTGACACTTGAGTTTAAGTTATGTATATAAATTGGCTTTTTACACGCTATGTGTTGGCATATTTATGTACGATATGCGACAGTATCTATTGTTGTGTGCATATGTTTTGGGATTGTATATACGTCGCATGCTTTTCGCATGTCTTTCAACTATAGATTGCTGCCCCGCCGCGGATGAAAACAAGTATTTTTACACCCACACACAAGCTTGAGCAGTTGAAGGTTGTTTCCCGGGGCTCTCTTGCGATTGAGTCGGGCACCACAGGGAATTAGAGTGATACGCCATTAATCCCTGCATCTAGCTGTATTCCACTTAGTAGCTCTATCGCTTGATGACAAATCGAGCGCGGGGCGCGACGCAATAGCGCACGACCATGCCTCGCGTAGTGGCGACATAAGCTGATTGCGCCGGCCGGCTTGCTTCGATTTGCTTCAGAGCAAAGAAATGTCATACCTTGAAAGATTGCGTACTGCACTATGTCAAAATGTTACTGCTTTGTAGCCATCCTATGATTCATTGAGAATTGATAACTGTGATATCACTACTGTAGAGCTTTGCGTCGGCGACACGCACCGAACGTCAAACCGCACTACGTCTGTCGTAGAAGCAGTAGGAGGCTGTCGTCTGCTAGAACAAAAACAAAACAAAGACCTGCGAAAATATTCATAAGTTGTAACTTGTTTTTTGAATAACCGTTAATCACTTTTAAAGTTATTTTGCCAGATAACATACATTTTTTTCAGTTTATAGCAGCGACAGATGTTTTTTTATTTTTCTCACACAGATATCCAAGTCAAATCCATTCACAGCTAAAGCCACATGTTGTTTGTCTTCTTTGTTTCTGTGGGCATGCCGTTTGGGTGCGTCTCTCATGTGTTCGCGCTGCTACACACGAGAGCACGACATGTTAAATTTACGCAAGGAAGCGCCGTTCCTCGTTCGTGTGATGTGCTAAGATTGCGCCCTATTCCCGCGGTTGTTCGAGTGCGGATCAAGTGCGAGTCGTCCAAGGAATCGGCGGGTTGGGCGGGCGCTCGAAGGACTCCGAGGTGACGGCGGACGCCTGTGGTCGCTTCCCTCAGGACAGTGTGAAAGAAACTAAAGGTAAGGGGGACACTTTTTTTATGTAGACCAAGTATGCCACTCAGTGCAAGTGTGTGTTGCTGCACTCGAATGAGGCGTCGTGAAACGGCAACCTTACGCGCCTTTGCGAGTGCGGTTGCCGATTCGCTTTGGTAACGCTAACGCCAGCAGAGCCATGGCGCATCGGCGCGGCCTTACTGGAGCTAATTCGAGACAACTGCGGCAACATGCATGTGTATGGTGATCGATTTTTTCATAGGTGCAATGTAGTGAGGAAGACGCACACGGCGCTTGCTACGTTGTTGATTAAACGAAGCCTGCAGTGCCATTTGATGCAAAGCAGCATTTTGTTTACGTTCGCGGTTATACAATTTGTAACTTGGCTCGATTCACCTAGCCAACCGACTAAGTGGGTTGATTAGAATACGTTCACGGTAGAGCGTTATTATGCCCCTAAACAGTGGCGTGTGCTTGTTGAAAGATATAATGTGTGTGCCTAGTGTAGAGAGAGAGAGGGGTGTTCGTGCAATCTGTATGTGTACCTGCAAGACGACTTTGCTTGTAACTAATAATGTACCGGCCAGCACCTACATTGTACGCCTGACTTTGAAGAAAACTTGCATGCACAATGTGAGATTTTGTAATTTGCCAGAGTTGCTTTTTATAAAATAATACACTGCCAGCATGTTCAAAATATGTTTCGCTGCTGTGTGGCAGGGGTGCGGTTATCACGCTGTTGTGTAGTTGCTGATGCAAGCACTTATAGTTTTGATGCGTTAATATTTCTCATCTAACTCATCAGGTGTTTAGCTGTTTCAGCACAAACAAGGCAAATAGAGTAGGAAGACGGGTAATGACAGGACCAGTGCCGACTTTTGTTTGCAGGAGAATACCCATGTTGGTGTATTTATTGTGACAGCCTTTCTGTGTTGCTTTTTTGCCCAATTTATGCAACAACACAGTTGTCAGCAATACGAGAGAGAACACTGAAATTAGCTTTTAAAGATCATGGTGACTAAATGCCTAGTAACTCACAGCACAAAGTAACAACAAAAGACATCAAAATGATCAATGTGGATGAGTACAGTCTTGCATCTAAAAATATATTGTGCAAAATGTTGCCTAAGTAACAAACCTCTCTATGTTTGCAAATAGTGTGACGTCACTTCGAGCACCGTGCCAGCCATTCCCTCCCTCTGTGCAAGGGCTGGTTGGCAAGGAAGTTGTTTGTGACGTTCCTGATAGACCACTGAGATGTATGCGATTCTAAACCTGTAGCCTAATATATACGTAATCATTTGTGCAGTTACATCGCTGCATCTGACACCTACAACTTATTTGCAGATTTACATCGCTCCCTTAGGACCTAACACACAAACTTGTTGTTTGCATTGTCACTTCATGAATATCGAGCGGTAAAGGTACTGAGTATATGTGAAACAAGAATCTCTGCTTATTACATGAATAAATATGAGGCCTTCGATAAAACGAGTTATACCTTTATTGAGCTTGCGTACTCGCCGGGCCATTCATACATGCAGCTTCAGCAAATGGTATCTTCCAGCCCGGTGACCTTGCAATTTTTTTCTG